TGCTCTTAACCTTGTGGTCGTGGGATCGAGTCCTACGGAGGACATTTCATAATTCGGAGGTCTCCACGTAAACTGTTCTCAACCTGGCATTAAGGGCAGCCTACTATCATACCTCCCCCTTACCCCATTACATATGAAAAAAAAAAGGGTCCGCTAATTTAATTTTTATATGACAGCTTGCACAAGGTGGTACAGCCGTAGGGACATGATTGAATACAAAGAAAGGGTATGTGTTTTATTATGTTTTAAAATTCGGTCGGGCACAACTACGTTAATTTAACATTTGTGTATCATATTTTATATTTGAATAAAATTTATATATAATTTTAAAAGGGTAAACTATATGTTTAGTGCATAAACTATTAGTTTTGATCTGTTTTAGTATTTTAATTTTTAATTTTTTTTAAATTCATACACAACGTTTAGTTTTTATTTCATTTTAGTACCTCGCTTTTTATGGGTAAATTACATCATTCATCACTCAACTATCTTCTCACTCCTATTTTGGTACTAAAGTTTTAAAATTTTTAATTTATCTACTTTCAAATTGCTCATATTTTAATCATTCTAATTTATTTTATTAATAATATTTGTGGCATGACATTGATTATTATTATTTTATGAATACATAATTAAAATAAAAAAAAATTTAAAGTTATAGTGATTAAATTAGGAGTAATTTGAAAGCTAAATAATTAAATTAAAAAACATTAAACTTTAGTGACCAAAATAGGAGTGATAAGATAGTTGAACGAAGAATGATGAAATTTACCTATAAAAAAGATTCCATGTGCAAATTACCCATTAATTTTTTAACAACGAGGTACTACAACGAAACAAAAACGAAACAATAGGTATGGTTTTGAAAAAATTGAAAATTTAGGTACTAAAACGGATCAAAACTAATAGTTTAGGTACTAAATGTGTAATTTACCCATTTTAAAAACATCATAAAGCAAGAGTTTGTAACGTTATAAAAACAACCTCAGGTTTGATGTAAAAATAGCTGCTGCAATAGCTGAGGAAACAAGGTTGCCATTCGTTACTGCAGAAAATAAGTTCGAAGCTTTGGTTAAATCTCTCAACTTCTATTTTTTTTTTGAAGAAAAAATTCGTATCGAACGTATTTTAATATTCGACATTTACATTCGAATTCGAATAACATCGATTTCATAACCAGGCTGCACATGATGCCATTGTTGAAGCTGGCGGAGCTTTGAATACTTTAGCTGCATCATTCATGAAGATTGCAAATGACATTCGCTTCCTGGGGAGGTTAATTTTTTGGATAAATTACATGTTTAGTATTTAAACTATACTTTCATTCTGTTTTAGTACCTAAACGTTGTTTTCTTCTGAAACCACACCTAACGTTTAGTTTAAGTTTCGATTTAACACCCGTCGTTAAAAAAAATTAACGACGTCGATGACATGGAATTTACATTACAAGACGCGTGGAATATCGTAAAAGAGAATAATTCTATGTCATTGATGCCGCTAAGTTTCTAGCAGAGGAATACCAAATTAAAATCTAAACTAAACGTTAGACATGGTTTTGAAAAAAATAAAGTTTAGTACTAAAACCTAATAAAAGTGATAGTTAAGTACTAAACATGTAATTTACCCATTTTTTCTCTTCCTCATTTTTCATATTTTTCATAGTTTTTTTTTGGAGTAAAATAACATTTAACCCTATTTTTAAAAATATTTTTTATGTTTGCTGTTTAGTAAAATTATCATGATGGTTTCAACAATCTTAATCTTCCTTATCTAGTGGTCCTCGATGTGGTCTTGGTGAGCTTATTCTTCCTGAAAATGAGCCTGGCAGCAGTATTATGCCTGTATAATTCTCATCTTATACATCGATTTATTAATACGAATACGGATATAATACGATACGAATAAAATAATTCATGATTTTTTTTCAGGGAAAGGTGAATCCTACCCAATGTGAGGCCCTTACCATGGTCTGTGCCCAGGTCATGGGCAACCATGTTGCCATCACAGTGGGTGGATCAAAATGGTCACTTTGAGCTCAATGTGTTCAAGCCATTGATGGCTAATGCACTCCTACACGTACGTTGTCGTTGTTGTTTTTTCCTCGTAATAATCCATTCGTGTTTTCGCATATCCGACATGCATTCTGTTATATCAGAACCATGTCGGATACTCCGAAACTTGGATATAACTGCGAAAGAACCCTGCGATTTAACCGCTTTATTCTTCGGTATCAGTCGATAAGGTTGCTGGGTGATGCAGCTGCTTCCTTTGAGAAGAACTCTGTGAGGGGAATTCAAGCCAACAAGGAAAGAATTTCGAAACTACTGCACGAGGTCTGTAAAATCTCTTCATGCTAAACTTCGATTCGAATATTACGATGCGGATTCTGATTTTGTTTATGTTCGATGATTATGATGCAGTCTCTGATGCTCGTGACATCCTTGAATCCCGTAAGGTTTTAGTATTTGTGATGTTCGTATTAAATAAGACTCTTTGTAACTCGAATCGAATCTCTAATTAGTCGTTCGAATCTTTGTGTTTTCAGAAAATTGGGTACGACAATGCTGCAAAAGTTGCCAAGACGGCACACAAAGAAGGCTGCTCCTTGAAGGAGGCGGCCACAACGAAGCTCGGTGTGCTGACACAAGAAGAATTTGAGAGTCTTGTTGTGCCTGAAAAAATGATCGGTCCATCTGCTTGAACACTTGGATTATAATTCGAACTCGTTTTTATCAATCGGTCACGTTCTGATTTTGAAATTAAATCGAGTTGTTCTAGTTTTTCATTGTTATCGTAATCTTTTTAAAGTATTTTACGTACTAAAAGAACAATCTTTCGATCGATGAATAACAAGAAATCTATATTAGAAATCAATTCACGGTATAGTTCATTGAGTGATCTCGGTAGTAAAAGATAATGTTATTCTTATTTTAGTGTAACTTTAAGGTCGATAAATTCATTGAATGATCTCAGTAGTAAAAGAGAATGTTGTTTTTCTTAAAAGAATCGAGTTCGAACAAATGTATTTTTGCAGTGCATATTTTATCATAAATTAGGAAAATTCTTAACGAATATTATCTTTTTCCTCGATAAAAAACCCTAGCATTTTTCTTCTTATCATAAGCATGTTAATTTATGTTCGTCAACCTATTTTTTTAATGTTTTCAAATATATTCATTTATATGGTCGAAGTCCCCTTGACAACCAACACTTCTCTTTATCCTTTTGTTTGAAAGGATTAAAACAAAAATAAGTGCCTAAACTTTACTTCGAAAAACGCCCAAAGATTTTTTTTTTGTTAAAAATAAGTAGTTAACGTTTTCTCAGTTATACTTTTAGGTGTCTACCGCTTAAATTTTAATTTTTAATAATTAAAAATATTATTTTTAATAATAAAAATATTATTTTTAATTTAAAAAAAATTATTTATTTACAAAAAACCCAACTTTTCACTAAAAATATAAAATAACCCCTAATATGGTCGCCGGCCATCTCTGGCCACCATCGTCGTCGTTGAATGGTTGGGTTTTGATCGGAATTGCAAGATGGTTCGAATGGTGGCAGCAGTGTGGCTTATGGACATCGAAATCGGTCGGAATCGACAAAGAATGACGACGATGGTTTAAAAACCAACGAACCTTTGAATGTTTCTCTATAGCAAATAGTGACATGTTACGATGAAAGGTCAATGGATATTTAATTGGAGATCGACACCGGTACCGATGATGGTGGCGGTGATAGTCATCGTCGGCCGATCGTCCGGCATAGAAGGGGAAAGTGGGGGAGAGGAGAAGGCACAGGGGTTGGGGTTGATGGGTGGTTTTTTTTTTACAAAAATATATTTTTATTTTTAAATAAATTCTCAAAATCACCGTTATAGTTAACGGTGATTTTTAACGACGAATACCTAAAAGTATAACGTTAGAAACATTAGGAACCTGTTTTTAATAAAAATTTCTTTAGGCACTAAAACATTTTTCGAGACAAAGTTTGAGCACTTATTTTTATATTAAGCTTATTTGGAAGTCAAAGATAAAAGGTGAAATTACACTGGTACTAATCCTTAAGCTCCTTAGGCTTCATAATTTGAATTCTAAAGTTCATATTGTGTTCAATTTAATACTTACCTTCAACAATATTTAAAATGTAAAAAATAAAAAAAGATAACTGAGTAAATGAGGTTATACACGAGGATTTTCGTGAAGATAAATGAATTGAACACACATATATTTTTGTATAAGTATATATTTATACTTAGGGATGTAAATGAATCGAGTTTAAATGAACAAAACAATATTCGTGTTCGTCTGTTTATTTTTGAAGATATTCATGTCCAATTTGTGTTAATTTAAATTTTTAATGTCGTGTTCGTGTTAATTTATTTATTTTTGAAGGTCTTCGTGTTCATTTATTTGGTATTCATAAGCATGTCCGTTTAACATCACGAAAATATTCGTTTTACGTTTGTGTAATGTACGTCAGCCAAACCTATCCCCTTAACCCTTTTATTTGCCAGCCAAAGAAAAATGGTGAAATTATATCAGTAGTCCTTAAGTTCCTTAAGTTTCACAGTTTGAACTCCAAACTTCACCTTATATTCAATTTAGTAGTTACCTTCACCAATATTTGAATTGTAAGAAAAATAAAAGGAAAAGAGTAACCGAGCAAACAAGCTTATAAACGAGCCAATAAATGAGTCTATTTATGAACATAAATGAACCAAACACATATATGTTCATGCTCGTTCGTTTATTAAATAAACATAAAATTTTTGTTTATACTCGTGTATTGAACTTAATAAACGAATAATTCACGAACAATTGATTGAATATTCAATTCATTTCCACCACACAAAAGCATAACATAATCTAAATACACATCAACACCAAGCCAAATCAAAAGCAAACGAACGAGGACAAGCCAAACCGATCAACAAAGAAACCAGAAGAAAAAAAACAATGAAACAAAAAGAAATACCAAATTAAAATAGCAATTCAAGATAATAAAATATCCCTTCCTTCCTTATTACATGTAATGCAGTACGTTGATGAGTACATATATAGTTTTTATTTTCTGTTACAACACAAATTAAAGTTGATTTGGAAGGATTTTATGCACATGAAGGTTTCTAGTACGGTTTTCGACCGATAATATTGCCGGCGGGAGCATAGTTGCAACCGATGAAAGTTCCACCGTTGTTGCACCTCACCTTGGCACAACCGAGCCGAACCGAGTCGCGCCAAACCACTTGGGTGTAATGTCCGCAGACCTTGCCCCGTGCACAGGTGTTGGAGTTGTAATTGTAGTCGGCCCTCTCGTTAACCCACATCCGTACGGCGGCGGTGCCCGAGAGGTCGGCACTACTCCAAGCTAGGTTTTCACCGTATCGTCCACCTCCGCCGGAGTGCACGAGTCTGCAATCGGCTTTGCGTTGATTAGCATAGTTCCGTGCAAAGGCAGCTACGTTTTCATCCCAAGTCATAGGGCGAACGCCGACGGCAGCTCGAGCAGCGTTGTGAGCATTCAGGTAGTCTTGTGGTGAGTTTTGGGCATGGGAGGGAAGGATCAAAATGGCTAAGGCCATGAGGCAAGTGAGAGCTAAGGAAGAAAACTCCATGTGAGGTGTGATTGGTATGGGATGATTTTTATGTGTCTATGAGGGATGTATTTATAGACAATTTATTAGTTTGGCAGCTGAATGTTCAAACCATATTACTTTTCAAGATTTTTTTGGTCAATTTTCCATATAACAGAACCTATGAATTTTAGAGTTGTAGCTTCGAAGTAATCCATAATTTACCAAAATAATAATAAGGGTAAACTACACAAGTGGTCCCTGACTAGAAAATGTTGCTTTGTTGAGTCATCGACTATTAAAAGTCACAAAATGGTTCCTCGAATATATGGTATTGATTTGTTGAGTCTCTGCCCCGATTATTAAAAGTTATAAAATTGTCACCCGACTATTCATATGTCCTAAACTCGTCCTTTACATTTAAAAAAATTGACGGCAGTCTTGAGTTAGACGTTAACTCGCTAACTAAGATATAATAAAATATGATCACAGAATCTCAAACTACTATCATATCTCAATCAGTATGTTAACGTCTAGGTCAAATGACTGTCAATTTTTTTGACAAAAAATAATGAGTTTAGAACATATAAATAGCCGGATGATCATTTTGTAATTTTTAATAGTCGAGAGACTCAACAAAATAATACCTTATAATCGAAAAATTATTTTGTAATTTTTAATAATCGGAGACTCAATAAAGTAACACATTATAACCGAGATACCATTTATATACTTTAGCCTACTAATAATAAAACACATATTTGCAAAACATATATATGAAAAGAGTCGAGATTGACCCTCAAGACTCCATCGTCGACAATCGACAAAATTTATTACCTTTAACTAATAAAATAAGTTTAAAATTAAGCCAATCTAATATGAGTTTATCTTTTAAGAATTCAAAAATACTTTTAAGTGTACACATATATATTAATAAAATAATTTTTTATATTAAATAGATACAAATAAAATTTTAGGGTGTGCACAACCAATAAAATATATAAAATTAATATAGATAATTTTGGGTTTCAGGTAGGTACATATCTGCTTTGGCAGGGATGAACGAAGAATTTTATGCTAAAAGTGAACTTTTACAATTTTAGGATGGACGAAAATAGATTATTAATAAAAAATATAAATAAAATTTAAAATATATGATAATTTAAAATTTTTAATAGGAGTGACTGCTCATATCCGATCATCTACCCATCCCAACACTCGAACAACACTTGCATCCGTCACTACTTACTAAATTAGTGTAATTAACATTGTAGTTAATATCTAAAAGCTGTAACATTAATTTTATTGATTAATATTATAATATTGATGATTTGTATCAACCCAATAATAACCTATTGAGATTTCGATTAAGCTCAATTGATCAATCGAATATTGCCAAGAGGAGGTGAATTAGCTTTTAGAGTTTAGGGAGTAAGGAGTAAAAAGAGATAGACAATTTGCACAAGGATTTATAGTGGCTCGACTTTTCAACCAAGTCTACATCCACTACCTAAGCTCATCACTTAGGATTTTCTAACAAATTCACTAGTTTTTTCTTTCTTTTTTTTTCAGGATAAAGAGATAACATTTACAACTTCCTAGCTTTTCAAAAGCTAAGCTATAACTGTAACCCCCCAGACCGATGCGGGTAGCCCGATCCGATTCGGGAAGTCACATTAGGGTCACCGGAGCGACCCACCGTAAAAATAGCGGAAATTTTAAAACTTTTTATCAGAACATGTAAACTTATAAAATCATTTATCACTATTTAAAAAATAAAACAGATTTCCAAACTCGTATATAAATCAAAATACAATTACATGCCCCCTAATCACAAATACCATACTCTGCAACCACGCCGGAAGAACTCCCTTACTGAAGTCGATAGATGCACTGGTACAATTGTTTTAACCTGAAAAGGTGAGTAATAGAGTGAGCTTTGGAAAGCTCAGTAATACAGAACTACCAGATGATGCTACATGACATGTAGATAAATGGAAAGCCATATAATTTCCTTATTGAATCATATGTATACCAGCTTGCAGAATAATTTGGGGTTCCCTTAGAAGTTCATCGAGTAGAAGCCATGAATCTCAGTTCATAAGAAATCTTTCATACTATCACGTTTTCATGAGGTCGAACAGGATATCTAGTGTGTTCTATCAGTACGATAAAATCATAATAGGTACACTAATCAAATGATAGTTCAGTAAAATCCCATAAAGCATATTGTAGTGGAGCTTTTTAAACTCGTATTTTAAAACCATCTTACAAAGAGTTAACCTAAGGGAACATCTTAGGGCCTGAGAGCCTACCCAAGAAAGTTCGGGGCCACGGGGCCTACCTAAGAACACATCTTAGGGCCACGGGCCTACCCGAGAATGATCTCAGGGCCGCAGAGCCTACCTAAGAGTCACATTAGGTCCATAAAAATTTTCCAGCTTGATCAGAGCTGTACTTTACAAAACTGTATATCCAAGATACAACTTATACCGTGATACAAATCCATAAGCCATCACCATTAAGTCGGCGCATCCATAAAACAGTAACCATAAATTTCAGTGTACCACATGTTAAAACAATTTATTAAAATATAAGGAACACACTAGAGAAATCCCAATATTTATCAGAGGCATTTTGTAGTCATCAGTATGGATAACATGAACTTGTGCAATTTGATCGGATTCCAGGAATAAGATCTTATTGAAGAGAATCAATTTCTAACCGATCTAATCAGACATTTCAAATTGATACTTTAGAATTCCACTAAGTTTCCACGTGCATCAGAAAAACGTTCAGGAACCTTTATACATAATAATTCTAAATTCAGATTTACTGCGAGTGATTCCATTACCCAAACAATCAGGGTATTCAGGAATATACTTTGAATTCATAGGATTTCAACCCAATTGTACCAAATGAGGTATTCAGAATCTTTTCCTTCTGCATTACTTGCGTTTTCAAACATGACCGAATTGATTTTAGATCAAAATATGTAATCGAAGATTCAAGTCATTTACGATCTATGACTATCGATAGTATTATCAAACAACTAAAGTTACACAACTCACAGACTGATGCATGTCAACAAATCAATTCATTATCCTTCCAATGCATTCACTCTTTAATACCAAAATGCATATCAATAGATCATCCCCATAATTATCGCTGAATAGATCTTCCAACGGTCTTTATTACATTTCCATGTTTCAACGATATCAGAAAATTTGGACGTACTTGATTCATGTTCATAACCCATAAGGACAATTCATACAGTGTTTCCAAACTCATCCAATCACCTATTTAATCCTCGGTCATTGAGGTTACTTAGTTCGTTTAGTAAGCAAGTTTATCCCGGTTACTTTAAAGTTTTCCAGAATAGTTCAGACATTTCTGAATCTCAAATACATGTTGCACTTCCTTTCAATTCAATTTAGTCATATAATAAAGTCATTCTGGTATTCGTGGTTGATTTATCTCACGAACACCCACTTATTAGTACTGTATGCATTCTAAAGTTGAGCTGAACCAAGTACTTCCAGAATTATCATCGATCCAAATTTGAGAAGACGAACAAACATTCAAGTGGTAATTATATCATTCAGGTAATGATATAGCACTAGCGTTGGTTGATCACTTAAGTTGCGTTCCATAACTTTTACTGGTAGCACAACATCCATGTTTATTTGGATTTCTTAATTAATCCAATACATTTACTTATTCTAGGTCATAAGGGCATTTTGGTTCTCAACGTTTTTCTATTCATTACAAAGCTTTGAGTATATCCATTCATTCATGAGCTTGGTGACATTCTTGAGTCATTTCCATTCCAAGGGTATTTTGGTCATTTTACAATTCTAGAATATTTCAATCATTTCCTTCCATCCGGTCTTATTATTTAATTCAATCTTATCATTTACTTCAGTCCTTTCGAACAATTCTATCAGCAGAATACCTCCAATAAATTACTCTTCAAGTATTTACTCCTTACTCGAATATTTTCGGGTCAAGTGTCTTCTCAGATTTTACAAACGAAATATTATAAATTTTTCTGTACAAAGACATGATCTTAACGATTAAATTCGTACTTAATCGAGTTAAGTACAAATCCTCAAAGTACTCTCTCATTCAGGGTCAATTCAGACTATTTTATCTCTCAAGGCATTTTCGTAATTTCTTAACCAAATAATTTCAATATTAGCACTTAACGAAAATAATTATAATTTAGAGATCCTATGATCAATTGCTTTCCCGAACATTCTTTGATTTTGAAATGATTCCTTCACAAACTCTCATAGGATTAAAACCGATTATCCATAATTTCCAAATAAAACTAACATTTCTTATGCACATCAGTAGTTATATCGGATCAATATGTATTTTCAGAGTTATTAACCAACTTCCAGGGGCAATTCTTATCATTTTCCAACATAAGGGTAATTTCGTAATTTTACCATATCGGAGTATTCTCATAATTTTTCATCCAAGTATCTTTAACATTTAACCCTTGATGATATAAAATATAAGTTACAAATCTAGAGCTGATTTCTTTATCACCAATCACAAACTTGTAATTTAATTCTAACAATTATCAATCTCTTATCTTAGTCATTCGATCCGTATTCAGTTACAGAATTTCTACCACATTCATATCGAGTGAATAAATTATTCAACTCCACAAAAGTGACCAACATTATCTTATTCATGCATTTACCAATATCAACATGTTCCATAAAGCATAAATAGGTAGTAAAGTATTACCTCGATTTCCGTGCAATACCGATCGACCATAAAAATTTCATTCGAACGCCTTTGATCTTCAATTCAACTTCCAATAATTCCTCAGATACATATCAACATAAATTATATCAGAAACGGAGCTTAATTGCGATAAACGGATCGAATCGGGTGATAAATCAGTGAAAGATGGCTTACCGGGTTCGAATTTGGCGAAACGGACTTCGGATTCGGATTCAGGACGTCGAAAGCATAAAATATGACTTTTCGGAAATTTGGAATTTTCGGTCAAAATCAAAGTCAACGGGTTTGA